CTCTCTCTCTCTCTCTCTCTCTCTCTCTCTCTCTCCTTCCCTCCTGCCCTCCCTCCCTCCCCCTCTCCCCCTTCCTCTCTCTCTTTCTCTCTTTCTCTCTTCTCTCTCTCTCTCTCTCTCTTCTCTCTCTCTCTCTCTCTCTCTCTCTCTCTCTCTCTCTCTCTCTCTCTCTCTCTTCCAAATACAAACACGAGAATCTGAGGAATAAAGATTTCTTCTGTAATCACAAGCTGTTACAAGGCAAGGAAATTTTTAAGGTATGAATGTAATCTTTAAAATCCTGTAAAATGGAATACTGAATTATATACAAACTTCATTAACATATTACTGTATTAACATTGCATATTTTCATCACTTTAGAAACTATTTTTACTTGTCTTTTTTATATTTATTACCTAAACCCTAAGGCTGCTTGGCTGTTAGACGTAAAGATTATATATGTTTAGAAATATGTTAATATCCTCAGCGTTAAAAATTCAGCGAAAATAAATAGATTGAGAAAAGGGAAGGAGAGAATGGTGCAGATAAATCGAGAAAGAGAAAGAAAGAGGAACGATTGGCTGGTGAAGAAAGGAGAGATATAAATGTATTAAAAAGGATAAAGATAGGAATATAAATATGATAACACACACACACACACACGCGCACACACACACACACACACACACACACACACACACACACACACACATTCACTCACTCACTCATATATATATATGTATCCACACTAATACACACACATACTTATATATGCATAGACATATGTGTGTGCAATAATAATAATAATAATAATAATAATAATAATAATAATGATTATGAAATTATTGATGGTAATAATAATGATAATGATAATGATGAGAGTAATGATGATAATAATGATAATAATGATAATATGATAATGATAATGATAGTTATAATGATTAACAATGGCAATAATAATAATAATAATAATAATAATAATGGTGATGATAATATGAAAGCAATGATAATGATATCAGTGATAATGACAATAACAATGAAGTTGACCATGGTAATAACAATGATGATAGTAGTAATGTTGGTGATCAGGTTAATGATAAATATTGCAATAAAAGAGAAAACCAATATTCACTGGAATTTATATATTAAGTCAAATAAATGATGATGAAATGTGAATAGACTCTTACATTGAGGATATGAACACTAAAGGAATATATAAAGAATATAACGAAATTAACGAAAATAACGAAAATAATGAAAAAAAACGAATTTAACGAAAATGAAATTAAATAAATTAACGATATCAACGAAAATAACGAAAATAACGAAATTAACGAAAATGAAATTAACGAAAATGAAAATAACGAAATTAACAAATTTAACGAAAATAACGAATCAATAATATTAGAGTAATGATGATAGCTATGTTAATGGTGAGAATAATAATGGTAATAATGATAATATTGATAATAATAATATTGATAATAATAATAATAATAATAATAATAATAATAATAATGATAGTAATAATAATAATAACAATGAAAATACTAACAATAATGATGATAATAACAATAATAACAACAACAAATCAACAATGATAATAATTGATACTAGTAATAATAATAATAACGATAATAATAATATTTGCGTCCTTCTCGTTTTCCCTCTATTCTTATATATTCCTTCGTTTATCTGATATTTCTCTTCTTCTCATTTCGCTTCTCGATCCTTCCTCGTTGCTTCATTTTTTTTATTTCTCTTCCATTTTCTCCGTTATTTTCTGTTTCTTCTTCTGTGTTTTTTTTTTTTTTCTATTTCCGGAATTCGACGCGAGAGCCTGGCGCCTTTAGCTAATGGCAAATTTTTTTCCCCTTTTTTCAACTTTTTTTTTCTGGTCTTATTTTTGTTTTATGTGTTTTTTTTGTGTGTGTGTGTGTGTGTTTTTTTTTTGGTGATATTTTTGTGTTTTTCTTTTTCTACTTTTTTATCTTTTTATTATTATTATTATTATTATTATTATTTTTTTTTTCTTTTTCTTTTTCAACTTTTTATCGTATGTTTGTTACATGTGTTTTTTTTATTTATTTCTTTACTTTATTTGTGTTTTTGTTTCTTTTTTTTAATCTTTTATTTCTTATCTTTATTTTTGAAAATTTTATTTGTCTTCTCCGACTCCTCATCACTTCTCCATTTTCTTCTCTTTCCCCTCTGTCTATTGTCTCTTCCCCTTTTTCCTCTTCCTCTTCCCTCCCTCATTCCCTTTCTTCTCTTCCTTTTGAGCCATCCCCTTCCATCTATTTTTTTCTTCCCTTGTCTCCTTTCCCTTTGATTCATTTCCCTTTCCCTCGTCCTCATCCCTTTCCTTTCCTTCTTCCCCCTCCTCTCTCCCTTTTTTCTTTCCCTTCACCTCCCCTTTCCTTCCCCCCCTTCTCTCTCCTTTTCCTTCACTTTCTCTTTCTTCTTCTCCCTCCTCTCTCCCTTTCTCCTTTTCTTTCACTTCCCCCTTTCTTCCTCCCCCCTCCTCTCTCCCTTTCTCCTTTCCCTTTACCTCCCCCTTCTTCCTCCCTCTCTCTTCCCCCTTCTCCTCACACCCTCGATCCCTTCCTATTCTCTATTCCTTTATTCTTCCCTCCTTCCCTCACACCCCTCTTTCTCCTATTCGTCCTTCTCTCTTTCTCCTCCCTTCCCCCCTTTCCCTTCGTCCCTCCTTCTTTCTCTTCCTCGTTCCCCCTTTTCTCCTCCTTCCCCTTTTCTCCTCGCCCCCCCCCCCTTTTCTCCTCCCTTCCCCCTTTCTCTTCCCTCCCCCCCTTTCTCCTCCCTTCCCCCTTTCTCTTCCCTTCCCCCTTTCTCCTCCCTTACCCCCTCTTCTCCTGCTCCCCCTTTTCTCCTCCCTTCCCCCCTCTTCTCCTGGCCCCCCCCCCTTTTCTCCCCCTCGCCCCCCCCTTTTCTCCCCCTCGCCCCGCCTCCTTTCTCCCCCCTTCCCCCCCTTCCCCCCTTCTGCCTTCGAAAAGTCGCATCTGCGGTTTTTTATGCGTTAAACTTCTTCGTGCTAAGTTTTGGGGCCGGCTTTTGTCTCCTCGGCAACCCCCCCCCTCCCTCCTCCACCCCCCTCCTCTCTTCCCCCCCTCTTCCCCCTCTCTTCCTTCTCCCCCTCTCTCTCCCCCCCCCCCCCCCGCCTGCTAGCGATTTCTAATTATGAACTATAACCCGGACGAGGTCATCCAGTTGCACGAGGTACGATAATGCTTCGATTTTTTGAGAGAAAGGGGGGTGGGGGTGGGTTGGAAGGGAGGGGGGGAGAAGCTCATTTTCTGTATCGTCTGTGAAATCCTTGTTCTGTCTGTCTGTCTTTTTCTCCGTTTGTCTGTCTGTCTCTCTCTCTTTCTTTTCTTCTCTGTCTCTGTCTCTCTCTCTCTCTCTCTTTCTCTCTCTCTCTCTCTCTCTCTCTCTCTCTCTCTCTCTCTCTCTCTCTATATATATATATATATATATATATATATATATATATATATATATGTACATATATATATATATGTATATATATATATATATATATATATATATATATATATATATATATATATGTATTTTTCCCTAATCATCATTTCCTTTTATATACCGTCATCTAAGAGCAAAAATAAACAGATTATCCTCTAATTAGATATCAACTTTCGTGAATGCCTCAATAAATAAATAAATAAATAGATTAACAAATACATAAATAAGGTTCGTTCTCGGCGTTAATTCACGGTTTCGAATCGCTCGGAAACTCGGTGTCTCGGTGAAGCTAATGAAGCGAAAATGAGTCGAAAAAGGGTTTCCTAATGAAGAGTTATAACGTAACTTTTTGAACATTATTATCAGTTTTTTTTTTTTCTTAAATTTTATTTTTATTTTATTTTTTTATTATTATTATTATTTTTTTTTTGTGAATAAGAATTTGTGACTACGAGTTAAGTGGGGGAACCCTTTTTTGAGATTCATATTAAGGTTGTAAATAAAGAAGTTTGTTGTATGGTTCTGGGTATCTGAATTATTGTGTTTTTTTGTTATCTTTTTTTCTCTTTCATTAGATACATGTAAGTTTTGTGTATACCTGTACTCGTACACACACATACACACACACACGCGCACACACACACACACATACACACACACACACACACACACACATACACATACACGCACTGATACACGCACGCATGCACGCACACAGACACGCATACATACACACACAAAAAAAAAAACACAAACAAACACATACAGAGACATAAATACCTATGCAAACACACACACACACACACACATACACACACACACACACACACACGTATACACACACACATATCTACACAGCCAAACACACACACACAAACATATGATTTTTTCTCTCCAACTTGGACTCCAAGCCCAACTTCGCATTCCCTAACCTTAGAAAATGTACTGAACTTGGAAATTCACGGTGTAAACTTTGCATATCTGCTGGTAACCACTAAAAGCTTTTTTCCCCAAGAATTGTCAACAGACTTAATCTCTGAGATGAGAAATTAGTTTGATTTCGCTGCGTAAGAGGGAACAATTTATATACAAACTTGATTTGCTGTGTTTATGTATGTATATATATATATATATATATATATATATATATATATATATATATATATATATATATACATATATATATATCACAGGCACACACAGACACACGCACACACAGACACAAAAACATACGCACACACAGACACACGGACACACAGACACGCACACACAGACACACGCACACACACACACACAGACACACGTACACACAGACACACGGACACACACATACAAAAGAGACCGATTACAAAAAAAAAAAAGCTGTGCAGACAAAAGCATACAGAACAGGGATGAATATGTAAACAATTTCAATTTCCTAAAAGAACATGAATTTCCAATGCACTCAAAAAGTGTTTACCCTTGACACATTCATCTGAAAGATATTTAACCATTTTTTTCTTTCTCTTTTTTTTTTCCAG